TATTAGAAAGAATCAAAACTATCAGTATTAATAGACAGTATGATTATAGTTTTAAAAATCCTAGAAAAAATCATCTTTAAAAAGACCATCAGGACCATCTTAGCCAGGCATAATGGCTCATGCCTATAATCCCAGCACTTTGGGAAGTTGACTCTGGTAGATCACCTGAGCTCAGGAGTTCAAGACCAGCCTGGGCAACATGGCAAAAACCTGTCTCTATCAAAAAATACAAAAAAAATTAGCTGGATATGGTGGCATGCACCTGTGGTTCCAGCTGCTAAGGAGGCGGAGATGGAAGGATGGTTTGAGCTTGGGAGGCAAAGGGTGCAATGAGCCAAGATTGTGCCAGTGCATTCCAGGTGACAAGAGTGAGACCCCATGTCTTAAAAAAAAAAAAAAAAAAAGAACCATCTTGAGTGGGTATTGTTTTACAAGTGTATACATGTATTCAAAGCTTATTAAATTGTATATTTGACATCTTATCTTGATTAAAAACTATTAGAACTAATGAGAGTTTCATGAAATGACTGATTTAAAGATTAGCATGAAATAAATCAGTAGCTTTAAATAACAGAAAAAAAATCTTATTCACAATAGCAACAAAACCTATAAAACATCCAAAAAGACACATGCAAGACTTACATGGAAAAACCTTTGGAATTTATTAAAGAGCAGAAAAGAAGACCTGAATAAATGAGTTGTACTATGTGGATATATGGAGAGATGCAATTTTTTTTTTAAAGGTAATTCTCTCCAAAGTAACCTTTTTAATGGAGACAGGGTTTTGCTCTGTTGCCCAGGCTGGAGTGCTGTGGCATGATCACAGCTCACTGCAGCCTCCATCTCCTGGGCTCAATCAATCCACTCACCTTAGCCTCCTGAGTAGCTGCGACCCCAGGCGCATGCCACCATGCCTGACTGCTTTTAGTATTTTTTTTGTAGAGATGGGGTCTCCCCATGTTGCCCAGGCTGGTCACAGACTCCTGGGCTCAAGTGATCTGCCTGTCTAAGCCTCCCAAAGTGTTGGAATTACAAGTGTGAGCCACTGCACCTGGCCCAATTTGATCTTTCTATTTAACACAACCCCAATTAGAATCTCAAGTGGTGGTTTTTTCCCTCATGGATAATAAAAGTGCACGTTGCATTCTTTGGTCTTTTCCGAATTTGGGTGTCCTTGCACAATAGTTCTTCCAGATGAATTTTAGAACCAGCCATTTATTCTCCACGTCTTGAGTTTGGTGCCTCTTCCCAATTCACAGCAAGGTGTTATATAGACAAGGAGAGGCCTTGTAAAACTTGTGGTAGGAGAGGGTAGCCTTAAACAAGGGAAAAAAGACAAAAGCTACAAAGAAAGGATTAAAATATTTGACTACTTCAAAATCTTACATTTTTATATGACAAAAGATGACACAGACAAGGTTAAAATACAAATACTGTTTAAGAAGGACGTAAAAAGCATTAATGATTTGTACCTAAAAATTTATGGTTCTTTAAATCTTGCTGTAAATTACACAAGCATTATCTCTACAACTGAATGTAAAGGTAGGGGTAAAGAAGTAATAAAGCTTTTCCTCTTCTGCCTTACAGTTTGGCCTTCAGTTAACTTTCTGTTATCTGTTACTCCAGAAACTTGATAAAGGTAGATAAATGTCAACTATGTCATTAGCAGCCTCACTTATATATATATTTTTTTCTGGTTAGAAATAAAGATCTTCTTTTAGAACCTCATTTATATTAAAGCAATTACCTGACTAGCAAAATGCATCTGGACTGGCACAACTATATATATCTGATGAAGGGGCAAAGGTTTGGGCTTCCCTGCATATAGAATTGGGCTCCAGGGTCCCTGGAAGCTATGCCCATGAAGTTCTTACAAGAAATATTGGCTCCCTGAGGGCTAAGAGACAGACTTCTAGGTCAGAACAGCTGCAACACTGGTCTGATACAAGTCTTGTTTTCTTGTACCTGAGCTACTGCTGAGCTCCAGGAAAGCTGGAGGAAGCAGCACTGTGGATTGCTGCATAGATTACCGTAAGGTTTTCCAGGGAGGTGGAATGTGTGTGTCCTGCTCCAAGATGCCATTCCTGACCTACATCCTCTCAAGCAAATCTGATGCCAAATGTGGCCCATGGTAATCTGAATGAGTGTAGATGTTAGCTGTACCTAAGAAGCCCCCTGGAGGCTGTTGCCCACAATAATACAGGTAACTTATACTTGAGCTATATAGAAAAGGACTGATAATAGAATCATGTTAGATAATCATTATGAGATTTAGTTAACTCACCCATGATAAATCTTATGGCTAGCATGAGGGCATAGTGCAGCATATGTATCCCTCTTGTTTCTTGAGGCAGCAGACATAAATTATGGTATGGGGCCAGAAAGGTATCTACACCTCTGTGTCATGAGACTAGGAAACTCAAATCTGTATGTGATCTTATTAATATTTTTCCTTAGAACGGCCAATATTTGTGATCTTATCAAATATTTCATAAGAAGAGCCAATTTAGGTCTCTCAGGTTTCAAGCTGGTGATACAGGACCTGAGTTTTAGGGGTGGAAGTTTTCTTCCTCCATAGACATGCCTTTAAATCAATTGACCTTTAAGAACAGCTTACCTGCCCATCTGCCCCTTTCATGAGCAGACCCAAATAGGACTACACAGACCAAGCCCCAATTGTTCCTGGCAGGTTAGCATATGTGTTACATGATCTAGCCAGCCTTAGGACAGCTTTAGGTTGGAGAGAACAGTTACTTGGGTCAAAACTGACTGCAGAGTAATCAGGAGTCAAAACATCCTCTTCTGATCTCTTATATAAAGAAGGTAACCCCCACCCCGTACCCTGTGCATCATGTGAGTAAAACAGTGCTATTCCTACTGGAAAAGCCCCTTATTTTCAATGCTTTTGTCCTTTAGGAAAGGCTCTGTCAGCATTCTTTGTGACTATGCAGTTAGGTCATTATATTACTTGGATCCTATAAAAAGACCACTGTAGGATCAGGATTTACCTAGTTTTGATTGTGATATTGGTGGGGGGGAGAGAGAGAGAGAGAGAAAGAGAGAGAGAGAGAGAGAGAGAGAGAGAGAGAGAGAGAGAGAGAGAGACTCGTAGATACTTCTTCCTCAGAGGCAGAATTTACAAGGAGCCAGAAACCCTGGTCCAAGCGTTCTAATTTTTAATGATAAATCTGTTGATTTGGGTTAGATCAGGGGTGTCATCTGAACTTTCTACACGTATTCTCTTATTAAGTTTCACTAAGCTATAAAAATAAGAAAGTAACCGTGCTATTATTAACAAGTTAAACAGTAGAAAGATTTATAAAGAAAAATGAACATTCCCCCTTTCCTTCCAATGCCACTCTTTCTTTTTAGTCAACCAATGCAAAAAAAAAAATTGAGTGTATATCTTTCTATTTCATTCTCTATGCTCACAGAAACACACATAAATGACATGCGCATCATATAGAATTGTTTTTATGTTCCCACTGCATATGTGACTCTGCAATTTGCTTTTTTCACTTAACACATTGTGGATATATCTGCAAGTTCTTACATACAGATTTTACTCATTATTTTTAATAATAGCATAATATTCTAAGGTTTTTAAGTCTTTCCCTATTGATGGACATTCAGGCTGTTCCTCTTCTTTTTCTTATGTACAGATTTTACTCATTTTTAATAATAGCATAATGTTCTAAGATCTTTAACCTTTCCCTATTGATGGACATTCAGGCTGTTCAGGCCGTTCCCTTTTTCTTCTTCTCTTTTTTTTTTTGAACCGGAGTCTCGCTCTGTCGCCCAGGCTGGAGTGCAGTGGCTCGATCTCAGCTCACTGCAACCTCCGTCTGCTGGATTCAAACAATTCTCCTGCCTTAGCTTCCTGAGTAGCTGGGACTACAGGCACGTGACACCATGCCTAGCTAATTTTTTGTATTTTTAGTAGAGATGGGGTTTCACTGGTCAGGCTGGTCTCATACTCCTGACCTCATGATCCTCCTGCCTCGGCCTCCCAAAATGCTGGGATTACAGGCGTGAGCCACTGCGCCCAGACCTACCTTCTAGTTTTTTAAGACTGGGTCTTGCTCTGTTGCTCAGGCTGGAGTGCAGTGGCACAATCTTTTCTTTCTTTCTAAAAGGTGGGGTCTTGCTATGTTGGCCAGGTTTGTCTTGAACTCTTGGCCTCAAGTAATCCTCGTGCCTCGGCCTCCCAAAGTGCTAGGATTACCGTTGTGAGCCACTGCACCCAGCCAAGCTACACCTTTTAAAATGTGACTAACTTATGCTTGAAAGGAATAATTATTTCTATTTTATTTGCCTTTTTTTTTTCCAGTTACTTCAGGCAGATCATTTATAACAAACAGGGAAGCACAGGACTTGCCCAACAAAAAAGAAAAACATGTTAGGGCAGCACCTCGTCTGCTGAGGAATAGGCAGAAAGTTCTCATCATAAATGTAGGGGGGTTTTGTTTCTCATTTTTTAAGTTGGACTTTTAAAGTAGAAGATGCCTTTAATGTACTGGTTTACAGAAGAGGAAATCTGATTTTCAGTGTGATAAGACATTCTTTGACATTAACCAGTAAGGCTGGATTTTTAATGACACTCTCATCTTCAAAGGCTTTACCAACACAGATGGATTAATTATTCATTTGGGGGGGGGGTTGTGTGTTAAAACGACAAGCCTTCAAAGCCATCATCTTTTCTCCTTGGAACTGGGGCTCTCCACCTTTCAAATGTTGCTTTCCTGCCCTCAAGCGAAAAAATAAATAGCCCTTTTTAAAGAAGAATAGTCCAATGGAAAAGTACTCTTTGCACTATGGAAAGATGATGCCCTTATATCTTGGATGGGATTAGAAGAGGGGGCTGGGAAACTGTTTAAGTTGTGTTTACAGTAAGCACTGTGAGAAATAACTGGCTAAGTGCGTTTGTTATTGTTCAGTCTTTTGATGTACTCCTAAAAAGTCGCATGTAGCTATAAAACACCCTGAGTCAAACGTAAGTTGGAACATTATATGCAGACCCTTCTATTCTTTACTAAAGTCTGTATTTTTCCTGTTCCCTCCAAACATGCCTCATTGGATTCTTAAAAGATTCGGGTTTCGGAGAAGAAAAACCTCAAACCTCGCCCAGGGTCTTCCTTGACTTGACACATTTTAAAACTGCAAGAGAGCAGTCTTTCCTTTGATGAGGCAAAGACCCCAGCAATGAAAGAGCAAGTGTGAGTTTGCAAACACCCTAAAAGCTTCTTCCATTAGGCCTGGCCGTGGGAAACCACAAGGGACAGTCAAGTGATTTTCAAGGAGAAAGCCTCTGGACCGCTTTCCCTCCACGGCAGGTTCCTGGGAGGAGCTCTTCACAAATCCGAAAGATTGCTAGGCTCTTGGCTAACGACTCATCTCTTGGAGACCTAGAGTGGTGGATTACAGGCATTGAAAAGCTTTTGGTGGCTTTGGAAGATGACTGTGTTTGGTGTGAGCTCACCTTTCCAGGCTGGGGGGCCAGGCAGAGGAACCCCCTTTGTTACCTTTTGAAATAAGATCAGCGGGAACACGGGGTTTGAAGTGTGGATTAGGAGGTCCTACATCTTTGCCTGGCACCTCCGCCTGAACCTTCATAAAACTTCAGGAATCATGCAACGTTTCCTTGAAGCCTGTCCAGGAACCTAACTTCTGGACCCAGAAACGTCTCCAAAGACAGACCCGCCGAGCCAGGCAGTCTGGATGCTCCAGCACTTCTGCTTCGAAGATTCTGTTTCGTCTTCTTCTATTGAGAGATTGACCTCTTGGGTGATTTGTGTGCTTTCGGGCGAATGATGGAGGCACGTAAACCGGCGGGACTGCTGGCCTTGCCCTACTCGCTGCACGCCGCGCCCCTGGGCGTGCCGGAGACCCTGCCCGGACTCCCGCGGAGGGACCCGCTCAGGGTCGCCCTGCATCTGGACTCGGTGTGCTGGGAGTGGGCGCGCGGCGGCTGTGCCCGGAGACGGCAGTACCTGCCCCCGCCGCTGGACGGCGCCTTCGAGCCCGCCTTCCTTCGCAGGCGCAATGAGCGCGAGCGGCAGCGGGTGCGCTGCGTGAACGAGGGCTACGCGCGCCTCCGAGACCACCTGCCCCGGGAGCTGGCGGACAAGCGCCTCAGCAAAGTGGAGACGCTCCGCGCCGCCATCAGCTACATCAAGCACCTGCAGGAGCTGCTGGAGCGCCAGGCCCGGGGGCCCGAGGGCGCGGCCGGTGCCGCCCCCCAGCGCAGGGCGGAATGCAACAGCGACGGCGAGTCCAAGGCCTCCTCGGCGCCTTCGCCCAGCAGCGAGCCCGAGGAGGGGGGCAGCTAGCCAGCGCCCGGGCCGGCCGGGACCCCGGGACCCCCGCGCCCGCCGCACGGCTCTCAGCCTGCAGTCCTACCCGAAGCTGGTTTGCATTCTTAATCTGGTATCTTCTCCAGGCCTAAATCTTAGGAAGAAGAAATGGGTGCTGGGGCGTGCAGGGGGGAGGGAGCTGTTTTGACATTTGGGAATTTCTCCCCTGCCCTTATTTGTTAAGTGCCTGAAATTTACAGGTGGGTGCGTATTAAGGAAACTCTTCCATACCTCTAAAATGCCTCTTTGTAAATACGATTATTCTAAAAACTCAAAGGGCGAGAATAACTGGAATTTCCTACCATCGGTGGTGTGGGTAAATTGTATACACAAATATTAAACCTTAACCAAAGAAGAGCTTTACCGCCACTAAAACAAAAACAACCCCGAACAGCCAAAGTCAGTTTTTAGAATGACAGCAACATTTTCTTGCATTCCTTCCTTTGGGAATTATATTAGAAATTTAATTGAAAAAAATTTTCAACCTCCTGCTTTGGGTGAAGGAGACGGTAAGCTGATACCTGAGAACTCATTTGCCAGCGCGTGCTGTTGACTGTGTGAATCCTGGTGCCAGGGAAGCCATGGCTTGATACACACTGTTTCATCCAGTGGCCGCATGGAAGCTTTGTAGCATTGAGCAGATGATAACATATCTCAGAACTAGTGATCTTTTTGGAATAGAGCCCAGATTTATATGAAAACTTGTTTTTCCTCTCAATTGTTTTGTCCACTGTTTTTTTCATTTTCCTTTTCTCTGCATTTCCCCCACCCCACCCCTTGTGGCTCTCCATCTAAGTTTTGGATAAACTAAAGTGGCACTGTGACTTTAAAAATAAACAGGAAATCTACTTGGAAGTCCCTTTTGAGGGCTGAACCAGATGGGGGAAAAGATCTGGGACAAGCGGGCTGGATTGAGGTTGGTACATTCTCAAATACTTTTATCACCATGAGGGCTTCCAGGTACAGTACCTGGAAATTATGTAGTGACTTTGGCCGTGTTAAAAGTGTTTTAAAAATATTTAATATTTAATTGGGTTCCCTTTTTTTCCTGAGAAACAATTTTGAGTTCAGTAGATAAGTTAAATGCTTGTGGATGTATGAAGATAAACTTCCGTAAGACCGATTTCCAATATCCTGAATTATCCTTTCCATGGAGGCAGCTTTGGTTTGTGGGGGAAGAAGAAGGGAAAATGGAAATGGACAAGGAGAACTAACAGTGGAAGTGCCTCCTCCAGGTAGATTTCACTTAGATTTTATTACCCCCTTTTACAGATGTAGCAACTAAGGCAGGCTATATATTCAGTGGCTTTTATGTGCCAGGAATTTTGTTGTGGCTTTTTACATTTTGTCCTATTTAATTGTCATAAATTTGTGGGCTGGGTACAACACATATTTTGCGGTTTAAGAAAAAAAATATGAAGCTCGAAGAGGTTACGTAGCATGACCAGTTTAATGTTGCTAGGATTCCTTGAGGTGAAACCCGGGCCTGAGCCTGAACCCAAAATCCAGGATTTCTTTCTCCCTTGCCATGCCATCTCCTGCTCGGTCATTTGCTAGTGGGGTTACTGGAGCTAATGTTTCTGCGACTCAGTTTTCTCACCTGTACAGAAATGTTTACAGAAGTTTATGTGAAAGACCTTGGTAATCTGCAAGGTGCTAACCAATGACAAATTAGTAGTGTTATTATTTTGAGGGAAATACTATTTCTCAGTTTATGGAAAGTAAAGCCTGGTTAAGAATAAAATCTCTAGGTGGAGTTAGTGTGATTTCTTCAGTGTTTCAAAAGAGGAACAGAGTGACCACACTCTCTTACTTTCTCTGGTAAGGTTCTAGGATACATGCTTTGAACACTGAATCCATGTGAAAACTGTCATTGGCTGGGTACAGTGGCTCACCCTGTAATCCTAGCACAATGGGAGGCAAAGGTAGATGGATCGCTTGAGCTCAGGAATTTGAGACCAGCCCAGGCACTGGGAACCTTAATGTGGTTTTGTTTGAAGCCCTGTTGAGAATAAGGCAATGATTTTGAGAAACCTTTTGGAAAAATAAAAATAAAACCCTCTCTCAGCTGGGTGTGGTGGCTCATGCCTGTAGTCCTAGCACTTTGGGAGGCCAAGGCAGAAGAATAAGTTGAGGCCAGGAGCATGAGACCAGCCCTTGGCAACATACAGAAACCTTGTCACTACAAAAATTTAAAGAGTTTATCCAGGCTTGGTGGCACACCTCTGTAGTTCCAGCTACTCAGGAGGCCAAGGATGGAGGTTTGCTCGCACTCAGGTGTTTGAGGCCACAGTAAGCCATGATCGTGCATCGGCCTGCACTCCAGCCTGGGCTGGAGTGAGGCTCTGATTAAAATAATAATAATAATAATAATAGTTAGATGAAAACCTCTTGCAATCATATAACTTTTTAAAATAGATAAATAAATCATGCAGTTTTTCTGGGACCTTCCTCATGACTTACAAGAGGGGCATCAATCCAGGAATGAGACCTTCTAAAATGTTCGGCCTCTTTTCCTGCAAATGATCACTTCATTATCCCTAGAACAATTTGACTTTCTAAAAGTACAAAATAAATTTCCAGTGAATTTTGTGGAAGCAAGAGTGGAGGGGAGTTTTGTGGCAATGAAGCATTCATGAAAGGAGAAAGATCTTCAACATCTTCCCTTTTTTTTTTTTTTTCCACTCAGCCCAGACTTATCCCTTGATTGTACTTGATTGCTTTTAGAATACTCCCTGTGGTTGGCAACCTGAGTAATTGTCGTGACACCCCATGCCACCCCAGTGTGCAACGCAAGAGGGGCCGTGTTGGGGTGTGGCAGAGCGTGCCCTGGTCCTGGGGCTGGATCCATCTCTTGCCACTCACCGACCTGGTGACTTTGAGTAAGTCCCAAACTGTTGCGTTCTCAGTTTCCTGTGCTAGGACACATAGAGAGGATCACATTATCTTTTAGACTCTTCCAGCTGGAAAATATCATTCATCCAACCGCTGCAAAGTCCCAGCAAATATAATAAGGCATGCCCACTTCCTGCCACACAGCACGGTGCTTTCTATTCCTGTATTCTCTCTTCCCGCTAGAATGACCCAGCCCTGCTGCAGCCTACTTTTTTTTTGAGTCCTAATTGCTGTTACCATGCCCAGTTAAAACAAAGCAACATACACACACACAAAAATCACCAAAAGCTTTGTAATTTTTTATGGAATGGAGCTTGAAGACTACAAGCTGGTGGAAAAATAGACCCATTTTACCTCAATATGAGGAAAAGGGTATAAATGGTGTAACTGATACCCAAAATGGAAAATATGCTATGAGGATCCAAAGAAAAGAGAGTCCTCTAGGGTCCCTTTTAAGGGCACGTATCCCACTTGGTCCAGCCTCAAGTGAGTAGGGAACAAGAAGGGAAGGCTTTGGTGGATGCTGCGTTTAGTAGGTAAGACTGGAACAAGAACTCTAGGCCGAGGGAATGAGAGGAACAAAGTTGCTGAAAAGGCAGGAACTGTTTGGAGAACACAGAGAGGCTGAGTAATACAAGACTACACACGATGGCTGAGGAATTGAAAGCCAGGCTAAAACAGCTTGGACTTGACTTTTCAACCAATGGGGAACTATTGAAAAAAAATTGAGAGAGGATATTGGAGAAGGTACATGGCTGAGGATCATGGTACTCCCATGGCAGGAAGCAGTGGACCAATAGGACATCGGCATAATTAAGGGAGAGGAAGTGAAGTGGGGGCCTGAACTAACACAGTGGCAGTGGGAATGGGAAGGGAGGGAGGGATTGACAAGCAGAACTGATAGGTCTTGGCTATCAGTTTGAGGAGCTGAAAGGGATGAGGAAGAGGGAGAAGTTTTAAAGACAATTGTGGTTGAAATTGAGAACACAGAAAGAGAAGTAGGTTTAAAATGTAAGAGTCTTGTTTTGGAGATGCTGAATATAAAATACCAGTAGGCTACTCCTGCCCACAAGCTACTGAAAATGCTGATGTTGAGGTCAAGAGAAAAGTCAAGCATAGCTGTGGCTTTAGCCACACACTTACAGGGAGTAATAGGAGTAGGTGTGATCTCCGCAGGAGAATGTTGGTGAGAAAAAGAGAAAAGTTGGGCGTGGTGGCTCACACCTGTTATTCCAGCACTTTGGGAGGCTGAGGTAGGAGGATCACTTGAGGCCAGGAGTTGAATACCAGCCTGCAAAACATAGGGAGACTCTCCCATGTCTGCAAAAAGTTTTTAAATTAGCCAGGCATGGTAGTACCTGCCTGTGGTCCTAGCTACTCAGGAGGATGAGATGGGAGGATCTCCTGAGTCCAGGAGGTGGAGGCTGCAATAAGCCATGATCACACCACTGCATTCCAGCCTGGGCAATAGAGTGACACTGTGTCTCAAAAAAAAAAAAAAAAAAAGAAAAGAAAAGAAAGCAGGGGCAGGCCTGGACTGAAGGTGTGTCAGATGAAGAAATGTCTTTGAAGAGAGCTCAGAAGTAGGAGCCAGAGAAGTTGGAAAGAAAATCAATCTGATATGAAATCATGGTAATTAAATGAGGATCTAATTGTATAAGAAAGAGGGAGTGGTTGACAGCATCCTGTGAATCAGAGATGTAAGGTGGTTTAAGTATGAGGGGAACTCCTTGGGTTGAGCCTTTACTCTGACCTCAGTTTCTCTGCAATGTGCTGAATGAGGCAGGGCCTGGATTGCTGTCGTGACTTTAGCACTCTGTTGCTAGAGACCTCTAAGAGCAGACATGACACAGTGGAATGAAGAAATGAGAAGTAGAAGTCAGCTTGAAGACTGCCCCTTCTAGATGCTTCACTGTGAATGGAGAAAGAGAGTCGGGCTTCTGTGACCCAGGTGGAGGAAAGGATGGGATACCAGAGATAGTTCTGAATCTGAGTTCTTGCAGGTCAACAGGTCTAGTTGATTCAGTGGCTCAGAGGTGACAAGGCCTCACGGAGTCTGAAATCAGGTGGAGGTAAAGGTCCTAGGAATTGGAGAGATTAACCAATGGGAAGGCAGACAGTTGGAAGGTGATGTGCTAAGACTCAGGCAGGTTTTTAAATCATTGCAAAGTGGAGATAAAAATGAGATGCGGCCGGGCGCGGTGGCTCAAGCCTGTAATCCCAGCACTTCGGGAGGCCGAGGCGGGTGGATCACAAGGTCAAGAGATCGAGACCATCCTGGTCAACATGGTGAAACCCCGTCTCTACTAAAAATACAAAAAAAAATTAGCTGGGCATGGTGGCGTGTGCCTGTAATCCCAGCCACTCAGGAGGCTGAGGCAGGAGAATTGCCTGAACCCAGGAGGCGGAGGTTGCGGTGAGCCGAGATTGCGCCATTGCACTCCAGCCTGGGTAACAAGAGCGAAACTCCGTCTCAAAAAAAAAAAAAAAAAAAAAAAAAAAAAAAAAAATGAGATGCGTGTTGCATGAAAAGTATACCTGTGTAGGTTTAATATTGTTCCTTAGGTGCTAACGAGTTTCAAAAACATGAGTTGAGTTATCCGTTTTTAATGACTTGGTTAAAAAATGACACAGATCTCCTCTGTAATGTCATGTATTAAATGATATTCATATTTATTTCATAGTGTAAGGCTTTGTAACAATAAATATCTCCAGAAAGTTCTGCAGTGTTTATTTATTTATTCATTTATTTATGTTTGAGACAGAGTCTCACTCCTGTCGCCCAGGCTGGAGTGCAGTGGCACAATCTCAACTCACTGCAGCCTCTACCTCCTGGATTCAAGCAATTCTCCCACCTCAGCCTCCTGAGTAGCTGGGACTACAGATGCACACCACCACACCCAGATAATTTTTGTATTTTTGGTAGAGATAGGGTTTTGCCGTGTTAGCCAGG